GTTCATGAATWGCAAAAGTAAATGTCCTACAAMGCGCTTTATTGCAGTTCACGTATCGACCGTATCGWTCAAGATCAATAACCGTATTGCTTCCTTTGGTGACGTACCTACAAACGAATCAATGCTCAACATTGATATGAGTTTTCAATGTGAATTAGACAATAATGGTTAATATAGTGCGATCCATTTGTTGTCAACTTCGATATTCACTCTTCTTAATTGAATGCTGAATGTTCTGCCATTGTCGTCTGGAGAGCGACGCCGGTAGAGTGCATATCCATCATTTCTATATGTGTTTCCGAAAAAAGCACGTGGATACTGGGTTTCCGGCATTTATTTGAATTTTTCTTGCCGTAAAAACCATCCTTCAACCACAACGAACAGTTAGAAAAAGGAATTGGCCAAATTGGTCCAGGCGTTATGCGCTTAGCAACAGATTTCGCGGTCTATTTTTATATTGTACTGGCTGACCCCGCAGCCGTTGTCCTGCGTGAAATTATGTGTTTTTAAATGAAAAGAAAGTTAAATTTATCATTTCATGGTTGAAATGGTTTTCCACATCCAATTTTATGTCACACACCATGCGACTATCCTTGTGTCCTGTTGATTGTCGTCTCAAATACAAAGTACACTGGAACGGAATACGGTTGAACTGAAATGGCAAATCGTTAGAACTCAAAGGAATTCGTAGAATCAAGCATTCTGCCCCCTTGTATTCGAAAGGTGCGTCACAATCAGTCGGGTTCTATTACACAGTTTCGGCGCATGCAGATTGCGAAACATAAAAACGAAAGATCCAACTTGGAGATGCAAATGATGCGGTGGCATACCAAACCTCTCCAAAGAGTTTAAAAATTCCACTGGATAATTCATGGCACCGTCTTCATTGTAAAGACGATCGATCGATTTGTATGAGCGCAAGTCTACCGGAGCTTGACTTTGAATCTTCCAGTTTAAGCCAACAACATCGGAATTTTTGGCAGCTATCGTCGTTACGATAATATGGGCGATGTCCGAACATTCGTGATGAGTTCATCTTTCGTGAATTGATAAACGGCGGATGGAATTGATATGAAACCACCGGAAACATCAACCGGAATTGACTCATTACCAATTTTTAGAGAAGACGATGTAAAATAGTCCAGTCATTATAGTAAGTTCACTTTGGAATTCGAGATACCCAGCTGTAAGTCTGTAAATATTGTGGTAGACAAAACTTGCACATACCGTATCATTCACAGTACGCAATGACTCAAATCGTAGTTTTCGGGAGAATTTTGTAAAATCGTCCTAATGCATTAGTTTATAACACACCTGGATGTCCATCTACTTGTTGGCCTTGCTCTCTGCGTAACCATTTCTTCGATGATGCATTCTATGTATAATATCAAGTAATTTCCGAATAGAGCAATGTTCTCGCAAACGGATCGCTGACGCAAGTTGAGAAAAAACTCATAAATGTCAATTTGGTTGTTGGAAGTGTTTCCTCTGGCTGTACTGTATTCTAAGGGTTGAAATACACAAATGAACTGCGAGATGCACAACATTCGAAAAACGTTCATGAAATGCAAAAGTAAATATCTCATAAAATGCTTAATTGCAGTTCACGCATCGACCCAGTTGATAATTGCTTTTCTCATCTCGTTCATGGCCATAGCGGTTATTGGCCTCAACATTGATATGAGTTTTGAATGTGAATTAGACAATAATGGTGAATAGTACGATCCATGTGTTGTCAACTTCGATATTCACTCTTCTAAATTGAATGCGGAATGTTCTGCCATTGTCCTTTGGTGAGCGACGCCGATAGAGTCGGTATCCATCATTTCTACTTTGTG